GGATCCCCAAGAATGATTTTCAGAGTTGTGTCGCTTGTGGCGAAAAGCTTGCGGCGTCTAAATGCTATAAATGCTATACTTCGAATTCCGGAAAACTTATTTACCCTGTAGCTGGGGAAGGGCCGCTCCGTACCTAAGTTTTGGCTTGCGGCCCGGCTGAAGCTTACCTACCTTAAAGGCAGGTGGGGGGTTGAAGTATTTGGACGCCACGGATCGTATTCGCATCGTCTCTTTTGGGGGTGCATGGTCCCTGATATCTGAGGATGGTCCCTGATATCTGAGGATGATCCCTTACATCTGAGGATGGTCCCTGATATCTGAGGATGGTCCCTTACATCTGAGGATGGTCCCTTACATTTGAGGATGGTCCCTGGCATAAGGGGATGGTCCCTGACTCTTGGGACGGTCAGTGGACTATCCGTCGGTGAGATGAGATGAAATGGATAAGTGTTACATATGTTACTATAATTGGCGTTTTTCCATCTCGTTTTCTTCTAGGAAAAGTTAGGAGTGTGAAAGGGATAAGCGCTACTTGTCAATTGCCTACGTAGGTATGAACTTGAAAAAGTTTGTGGGCTTGCTCTCCGTCGCAAGTTCGGAACCAGCAATCCGGATGGACCTACCAGCGACCCGGCGGATACCGCGAGAGTGTAAGTATGTGGTTAACAACGGACCAAAAGTCGGACTAGCATCCCGGACGGACATACATACCAGCGACCCGAACATAGCGAGAGTATATACACAGCTCAACTAAGCGAAAAAGAGACGGAAGCCATCATCTTGCACACCTTTCAATCTACGTAGAAGAGAACTTTGCAGCTCTTATAGATAAACTATAAAAATACGACTGTATACGGCTAATTAGACTACGAGGAGTCGGATGCTACTAAAATTGAGTTTGTCGAGTGAGTGGTTGATTTACGTAGTATTACGGAGTAATGATTTAATCACGTAGATCCCCCGGTCGCTGGGTATATTCCGTCCGGATCGCTGATAGTATGCCCGGGTCGCTGGTGCAGACTTTCTGGGCGGGTCGATCAAATCTTGATATTGAACTTGCTTTGGTAGTTATAAGATTATAAGTTAATTATGTAGATCCCCCTTGTGTCCGGGTCGCTGAGTATATCTCCGTCCGGGTCGCTGATACAGTAGTATGTCGCTGGTATGTCCGGGACGCTGGTTCCGACTTGCTGAGCAAGTCGGTCAAATATTTACGTTAGATTTGCATTGGTAGTTGCAAGGCTATTGATTAGTTACGGAGACTCTCGCTGTGTCCACCAGGTCGCTGGTAGTATGTCCGGGCCGCTGCTGGAGGGGGCTACGTGGGTAGGAAGAAGAGAGGCTGATTGATGTTAATCGTCGGCTCGCTTAGGTGGGCCTCCTCTCGTCGTTTAGCCGAAGATAACGGAGATCGATCACCGTATACCCTTGCACCCCTGCAATCACTCTCTATTTTCGAACCTTTTCATCACTACTATCGCCGCCACCATCAGTACAACGTGAACGGGTTCTTCGGGTTGGAAGAAATATCGCATACGAGATCGGAATCTCTTGGCTGTCTCTGCGGCTTCTGCAGTAACAGCGATCCCAACTCGATTGTCAGGGCGAGATCAGATAGAAGAGCTACCTTACTTTTCACTCGCGGTGTCGATATACCGGTAACGCTGTATCGTATTCGTGTTTTCTGTCGTCTCGCCTTGGCATAATCAAAATTGGCAGATCCCTCTAACTGCTCGTATTTAATTTAATGTTGGCGATCATTACGCCAAACAGGGCCTTAACCTCAATGTCAAGCCCTCTCACCGCCTTGTCAATAAAAGATAACTAAGATGGTCACGTGGAGTCTGCCCCCTTCCCCGAGCCCCTAATACAGTATTGAGGTAAGGGTCCTTGGGGTCCTTGGTAGGTGTGAATACCTCGTTTTCCCTGCGAGTGCGCAGTAGAAAACGAGTAATCATATTAAAATAAGTGGGTAGGGATAATACAAGAAGTACTCCTTATCCTGATCAAGATCCCGTGACTGATAAGCGAGCGAGGGCAAGAAAAAAGGCTCCGTAATCGGACATGTCAAAGTATCTTTGGCCCTTGATGATATGATCTAATCTGCCTACGGACCGTCATCGGTCGAGTGGCATGTTTGCTTTTGATTGAAGATCAGATTACGAACCGAATATCGTCTGGCTGGCAATTGATAACAGTACATACAGTCCACAACTCCACGTCGGGAATTCCTCCGAAGGGGCGCAGAGGACGAATCGGACGACGGCGACATGGACGACGAGAAGGACGAGAAGGACGACGACACAGGCGCAGACGCAGACACCTTTCTCCTGCAGTGTCTGTCTGCCACGATGCTCGCGGCCCCCATACCGTATCTACAGATACGCTCCATGTCTCACGTCTCATATCCACTTATCCCCATGTCCATTCCAGGTCCATTCCAGGTCCAGGTAGCCGAACTATTCCATCTTCATTCCATGTCTCATTCCGATTTCCGACGCAGTTCATCCATGCCTTCTCGCGTCAAACATCCCCATCCCGAGAGGGGAGAAGGGAAGACCCACGCAATAATATCAAACCGAGGTGGCCCGAGCCGACGTCTCGTCTCTCGCGCCTCTCGCGTCTCTCGTCTCTTTCCCATAATCGTTCTAGGAGAGAAAAAGTTTGCAGTAGTAGTAGTAGCGTTTGTCTTCGCCGTGGATGCCGATGCAGCCGCCCGGCGCAATGCAACAAAAATAAAAACCAAAAAAATCAAAACAAACGTCCCGAAGCCGTTGCGGTGCATGAACCACCCGAGACGCAGACGCCGACCCGCCGACCCGCCCACCCGCCGACCCGCCGACCCGCCGACCCGCCGACCCGCCGACCCGCCGACCCCACCGTTCGACTCGGTCCAACCCAAAAGACCCTCCCTGGCTTTCCCCAAGTCCTGGTCCCGAGCTTGAAAGGGGCGCCGGGCATTCTGGGGTTTGAACCTTGATGTTACGGCCCTTCGTTCCATGAACCATGACAGTTACCACTGTACTGTACGGTACGGCGTACGATGTTTTCCCACGGGGATACCCTGAATCGCCACGTTGGACGATGAAACTGCTCCTGGTGTCAACTCAACTTGGGAGAGTCTTGAATCCCCACTTCATTCCATTCTTCCAGAAGGTTTTCCTTGCAGGGCTCCCCTATCTAGTTGTACGGATCTCCCTTTCCCTCCACTCCCCTCCCCTCCCCTCCCCTCCCCTCCGCTCCCCTATCCCGT